GGGGGTGTGCGCGGCGTGGCGCTGCCGGGGGGACGGGGGCAGGGAGCGGTGGCCGGACTCGAGGGGTGGGCAGAGCCCCGGGTGACCCTCCACGGTCAGGCGGTCCACGTGGGTGTACATGGGGCCGTGGGACGAGCTGGCGTGGCAGTGGTGCTGCCCACACTTGGGCTGGACCTTGGGGCTCGGGTGCGTCCTGCCCCAGGGTCCCGGCTCCGCGGGGCATCCGGGACTGTTCTCCTTGCCCGGCTCCGTGCTCGGCCACTGGATGGTCCAGTCCTGCTTGGAGAGGCTCCCGCCTGGAGAGAGCACAGGGACACACGGCCGTGAGGTGGGGAAGAGGATGGGAGCTCCCTGCTCGGGCCTGGAGGTGTTAAAGATCCCATCCCTGGAAACGCTGAAGGGTTGGATGGAGCTCAGAGAAACCTGGTTTAGGGAAAGGAGGTGATCCTAAAGGTCCCTTCCCACCCAAACTGTTCCATGACTGATTCTATCCTGGCACTGCAGCAAGAAGCTTCTCTGTGTTATGGAATCTTGGAATGGTTTAGGGTGGGAAGGGACCCTAAAGCTCATCCCATTCCACCCCTGCCATGGCAGGGACACCTCCCACTGTCCCAGGCTGCTCCAGCCCCAATGTCCAGCCTGGCCTTGGGCACTTCCAGGGATCCAGGGGCAGCCCCAGCTGCTCTGGGCACCCTGTGCCAGGGCCTGCCCACCCTGCCAGGGAACAATTCCTGCCCAATATCCCATCCATCCCTGCCCTCTGGCAGTGGGAGCCATTCCCTGTGTCCTGTCCCTCCATCCCTTGTCCCCAGTCCCTCTCCAGCTCTCCTGGAGCCCCTTTAGGCCCTGGAAGGGGCTCTGAGGTGTCCCTGGAGCTTCTCCTCTCCAGGTGAGCACCCCCAGCTCTCCCAGCCTGGCTCCAGAGCAGAGGGATGGGCGGCCTCAGAGATTCCCACAGGATCATCCCATTCCACCCCTTCCATGGCAGGAACCTTCCACCATCCCAGGCTGCTCCAGCCCCAATGTCCAACCTGGCCTTGGACATTTCCAGGGATGGGACACCCACATCTTCCCTGGAGATGCCACTGTGGAGCCTCACCACCCCAGGTGAGGGATTCACCAGGGCTGGAGGTGTCCCCACGTGTCCCCCACCATCACCAGCTCCCCTGGCCACCCCAAATGGTGGCACTGGAATGGTGACACCTCCAAGGGGACAGTGACACCTCCATGGGGACAGTGACACCTCCATGGGGACAGTGAAACCTCCACTGGGACAGTGACACCCCCATGGGGACAGTGACACTCCCATGGGGACAGTGACACTCCCATGGGATGGTGACACCCCCATGGGGACAGTGACACTCCCATGGGGACAGTGGTGACACCCCCATGGGGACAGTGACACTCCCATGGGGACAGTGACACCTCCATGGGGACAGTGACACCTCCATGGGGACAGTGACACCCCTCACCTGGCTGCTGCCCCATCTCGCCCCCATTTGCATAACGAGGGGGCTGTAATTAACGAAGGCTCCCAATTATCCGTCCCCACCAGGAGCAAAGAGCGGCCGGCAGCACCTTGGGAGCACCAGGGATGATCCAAGTGGAGTTTGGCCCTGGATCCCGTTCAGTGCCCTTGACTGAGGCTTTTTGATTGTTCCCATCAAGGAAAACCCAAATCTCCTCAATTTCCTCCTTCCCACTCCCTGCTTTGGGAATTGGATCCTCTCCCCTCGCTCCAGACTTTTCATGGGAATGTTTCAGTCCAAGCTCCAGAGGAAAAGGAAGAGCTTGGGAAATGAAAGGTTTGGGTTCAAAGCAAGCTTCGAGTCCAGGGCTGGAGGATGGGACACAAGGAATTTTCTGGAATCATTTTCTTGGAGCAGAACATCCAAAGAAAGGATAAAAAAAGTGAAAAGAATTGTAAAATATGAAAAAAATTAACAGTAAAAAAATTCCCAAATAATTGTAAAATATTTTTAAAATGACCATAAGCAAGTCCTAAATAATTGTGAAATATTTAAAAATATGTATCAGCAAAATAATAAAAAGAAAATAGTATTAAAAATCTTAAAAATTTAAATTAATTCATTAGAATGAATAAGAAATTAAAGTATGAATTAAAACTTTTAGAAATTAAAATTAATTATTAGAATATATAATTAAAATAATAATTAAAAGGTTTAAAATTAAAATTATGTAACTGAAATGAAAAAGAAATCAAAATAAAGCAAATAAAAAATAATAATTCAAAACTAAGAAATAAAACGCATTAATTAGAATAAATAAGAAGTGCAAATAAATGAGAAGTAAGAAGATAAATGTTATAAATTAAAATTAATTAGAATAAATAAGAAATTAAAATAAATAAAATAAAAACGAAATGATAAAATAATAAATTAAACCAATATTATTTCTATTATAATATATTAAATTATTAATTAATAATATTATATTATCATTAAATGTATAATAAAATAAAACTAAAAATAAAACTAAAAATAAAATAATTAATTGGACGAATAAATAAAATAACTACGAATAAATAAAAATAAATTAAACTAAAAATAAGAATAATTAAATATTTATAAAAATAAACTTAAAAAAAACCTTAAAAACCCATGGGAAAAAAAAATCTCAGCGTATGCAAATCACCGCGCTCCTATGCAAATCCTGCTCTTCCCATTGGCCGCTTCTCTCGCCTTGATTTGCATAACGCCGAGCCGGCCCGGCGCTAATTAGCGGCGCTAATGAAGATGGGGTGAGGGTCTCCCTGCGCTCCCCGTGTCCCCGCTGTCCCCCGGGAATAAAAACCGGGAAAAGCCGGGAAATGGGAACTGCAGGCAGGAGGGAGCGAGAATTGATGGGATCAGCTTAAACCGGGAATGCGCTTAAGAGGGGGAAAATCCCAACAGAAACATCCCAAAGCTGCTCTGGCTCCAAAGCCTGTTAAAGGCTGCAGGATTCCGCTCGCTCCCGGCGCTCTCCCGCTGCTGCTGCTCCGATTCCCAGCTGGAAAACCACGGGAAAAGACGGAACGGAGGGAAAATCCCCAAACTCTGCCCTCTTTGTTCTCAAATTGGTCGCCTGATCGCTCCTCAAAACTTCGGTGTTTTGTTTAGATCCCAAGTGTTAATTAATTTTTGGATATCAGTCACAGCCACCTCCTGTCCCAGGGGTGGCTTCTTCTGACCCTGTGGATGCTCCCTTTGGATCACTCTGGCTTCATTAATCCGCTCAGATTCCCTCCCTCCGCCCCTTTCCATCAGGGAAACTTTTCCCAAATCACTCCATTTAAAACCAACAGGAAAGCAAATTCCAGGGAACAGGAGGCAGCGCTGGGATGCAGCTCATGGATCCAGAGATGGAAAAATTCCACCGGTTTTCCACCTGTCCCAAACAACAAAGAGCGAGGTTTGCTTTGTTTTCCTTCAAAGAAAAGGCTGGGAATAATTGGATATTCCCATGGGGGCTGGAGAGGCAGCTCTGCATCCCAGTTGCTCCTCGGGATGCTCTGAGCTCTCCTTCCCTTCCCAAAAGCTGCTCCCAGGTGACCAAACTGGAGATTTTGGAATGCCCAGGGGTTTTTTGGGAACCCCCACGGTCCCAGCACCCACATCCCAGGTCAGCAGCCTCTGGAATAGGCTCTGGAATCACCCAGCTTGGCAGGGATATCAGGAAGGTCAACTCTTCCCTCCTCACCCCCACATCAGCACAGCTCCCAAATTTGCTCCAACCTGGGATTTTTCCTGCTTTTCCCTCACTGCTCCCGACCCTGCCTGAGCCCGCGCTGTCCCCAAGCCACCCTCAGCCTTCCCAGGGCTCATAAATATTCCATTCCAGCTCCTTTTTCCCGGCAGGACACTTAATACCCTGCACACATCCCTCGGCAGTCACAGCCCATCGACTCCTCCAGCCGCAGCAGCCCCGCTCCACTCAGGTTTAATATTAAATTAATCCAGCTCCGAGATCAAACCCGATAACAAAACCCCGCTCCCGAGGATCCACATCCAAGGAAAATCCGGCCCAGCCTCGTTAACGCCGCAGGGAAGGGGGGTTAATGTGCATTTGATGCTCTGATTTATGGGATGCTCCGGGGTTTTCCCTGCTGCCCCCAGGATGCTCGGCTTGGGAAGCACCTCCTTTTCCAAGCCCATCCCGGTAAAATCCATCTCCATGAAAGAGCCTCCAGCTTCCCGCCCAGGCAGGGGCGGCCTGGGAAATTAGAGGCTTCTAATTAACGACTCAATAAATAAAGATGGATGGGAAAGGTTAATCCTGAACCTCATTCCGGCTTTATGAATACAAATCTTGGCGTCTCGGAATTGGCAGCTGAGGCTCCTGCCAAGGAATTCCAGCTTTTAAGGAGGATGCAACTTCTTCATTAATTACAATTTTAGGATGAGGACAAACTCTCGCTTCACGAGGAGATAAAATGCAGCTAAAACACAGATCAAAAAGCAGTTGGTGCATCTGGGGCTCCTTTAGGGGGGCTGTCATATCCCAGTGGATCCAAAATCCCAACACTGCATCCAAAGAGAGCATGGAGACATCCCGGGATGCTTCTCTATCCCCATCCTAGAAACCCCCAGACAGCTCCTCAGGGCTCTGCCAACCTCACTGTCATAGACAGCCAGCAGCTCAAAATCCCTGGAATCCAGCGGGTGGGTGGAGGATGGATGGATGGATGGATGGATGGATAGATGGATGATGGATGGATGGATGGATGGATGGATGGATGGATGGATGATGGATGATGGATGGATGGATGGATGGATGGATGATGGATGGATGGATGGATGATGGATGGATGGATGGATGGATGGATGGATGGATGGATGGATGATGGATGGATGGATGGATGGATGGATGGATGATGGATGGATGGATGGATGATGGATGGATGGATGGATGGATGGATGGATGGATGATGGATGGATGGATGAATGATGGACAGCACCCCATTAGTGC